TCAAACAAACACAGCCCGCTCACATTTCTGGCAAAGAGTTTTCAGTTTATTATCACCTTATAAGAATTTATGCCAACAATTAACTTGAAGGCAACCCCTAAATCCAATGCTGCTTTTTTAAAAACTGGTAGCATTTGACATGTGTGTGGCAACATTTAGCGCAGTGTGTGTTTCACCACACTGTAAATAAGTCACAGATGGACAGAGCATTAATTGTATAGTCTCCACACATAAGAGAGGATCCTCCTGCACTGAGGACTGTCTGTCTGTGCCCAGAGCTTCACATAAATAGTCTTCAACTACAAAACTGCTGACAAATTTCCGTAATGACTGTCTGCATTATTACTTTCCAATAAAGGACTGCACACTCCTCTAGATGCTGATAAATACACACCAGTTCAAATAAATTATAAGCATTATTCTAGTTTTACAAAAACATGCCTGCTTTCGTGACATGATTTTCAAAGAGTGTATTTTATTGTGTTTGCAAACGTAATTTCATGCTCTTTCAGTCATGTATATAATAATCAAAGCTGGGCTCTGCAGCTCAGTGTGATCCTGCGGTTATTCTCTATATTGCCATTCTGCTGTATCCTCCAAGGACCAAAAACGGCAGCGGATTTTCTTGAGAGCAAATGTGAAATGATACGTTTTCATTTAGAAAGCCAAATGTCATCATCATGTGTCTGTCCCTTTTGCTTTTAGAGCATCTGGTTGATGTGGTGAGCTGGCAGAGCAAGTAAGAACATGGCAGGCAGACATTTATCATACTCGAGACTACAGAGCTGTAACTGTGCCTGCTTGGAAATCCTGTGGACAGTCAGTGGAAAAAACAGTCAAAAAAGTCAATGGTGATTGCGTTGCAAGAAAGACATCGCTACAAACCCACAGCTTTGGCATTTTAGTTTTGGGCTGGTAACAATATGAATGCATCACTTGCAAATTTGTCTAATAACAATATGCGATCAAGACTCTGTTGAGCCTGTAACTTTCTCTGCTGTTTTACTTTCAATGTCTGCTCACTGAATGCATCATTCTGTCACACAGTGCAAACATTACACTCACATGTTTGTCAAAAAATTACATCCTACTCCAACAAGAACAAGTTCCAACATTGTACGTGTTTACATGTACTGTTTCCATGGAAAGTCAGTTTATTTGAAATTTCAGACACAAGAACTGCTGACACTAGCCCTCTTTCCAAAATTTGATGCTTTGCCAACTTGCCACTCTTTTTAAAAGGTATCTTCAGTACCTTTTTTTTTTTTTTGCTATTGCAAGACCAGTCTGACTTGCCATGTCGCCTGTGCTGAGATACTCTCTTGTTGACTTTGAGTCACACAAAGACCGAGAAGTGAGTTACTCCTTGGCCAAACTGGGGTAGTCCTCCCCCTCAACACAAAAAGAAGAGATAATGTAAAATGTCTTAAATCATACCAGCACAGTGTCAGATTTATAAACTGAACTTTGGTCTCCAAAGAACTCTCAGTCCGTCCTGTACACGGTGCAGACATTGATGAATTGTTAGAGCTGACAGTAGGACTGATTGTTCTTGCTTTTTAAGGAATCTCTGTCATCATTTCACTGCTGCTTGGATTATTAATAGTGCTTAATATCATATCCATTAGGATCAAGAAGGCAAAGTCTCCAATCCATCTTTCCAAGTATCTGTTTAAGCCTGTGGTATCTGAGAATCCTTTCAAGTTTAAGTTGTAGAGGTAACACTCTTAAGGCCATGGAGATCAGAGCACTGTACAGTGTTTAAGTCTGGACATCTGCACATTTGTGTGTCAGTGCTTTCGTTCAGTAGCAAAAGTCTCTTTTTGTCTCATAATGGAACAAGAGGGTACCATTTAAATGGGAAACTTTGTATTTTTGTACAAATATATGGTTATAACGATCATTTCCAATTAGTGCAAATATATGGTTACAAATCTAATTGGAAGTTATCTTTGCAGCTTTGAGGCTCAGAATATATAAACAACATTTTGACTAATAATTCTATAGTGACAGTCAAATATTTTACTGAAACATCAGTAGATATAAATAGTTTAAGTGTAGGAGTTTTACCTTGTGAAATTACAGCGTTAATAGAGATGGCTCACTGGCAACTATCTCAACAATGTACAAGCTTTAATCAGTCATTTTGTGATGGAAAAGGCAGCCTCCCTAGCATATAGTTACATTGTGCCTGTACTACCAGGTAAAGGTTTGGACATACTTTCCCACTGAAATGAATGGAAAAGTTTTGACGGGTTGTGTATCTGAAAATATAGACACTAAAATTTAAATAAATGTTTTTGTCTTCTGTAAAAATAGGAATCAGCCATTTAGAACTTGCCCACCTGCTGTGCCTCCAACACAGAGGGTCTGCAGAAGACGCAGTGGGGGGTATCACTTGCTACCCTGATTGATGACCATAGGTCCCGCAGGAAGTAACCCCACCACCATGAAGGGGTGTTTTCTGAACCCCAAGTGGTATCCGGCAAAACATGAGCATCTCCAGTCATGAAGCACGTGTACTCATAGGCCATCTCAATGTTTGGATATACTGAGTCACTTGGGACTTTGCTGAAAGGGGAAAAGCATCAGTGATGGCAAAATCAAGCTCAAAGGGCACCTAAAGTCCAGGGTAAAAACTATTAAAACAGTATGACACCTCTATGCTTTGTGTTTTGGACCTTGCACTGTAGGACTGGACCCTATGAACAAATTACACACTGTTTTCTCTTTTTAGGCCTCAGATAAACCTCATTAAGTCATTAACTGTCCACCATCAAACATGATGATATTAGACATATTCACTTTATAAAGAGTACTGCTCTAGACCACTAAGCAAAAAATAATCACTGCCATGCAATATCAAAGTTCTTCTACACAGACACCTGAAACGGTGGAAGAGGCAATAAAATGCAAAATATTTCAAATCCCAGCAACATATTCAGGAAGCAAAAATGGGTAGATTCATTTTTATCTTTCAGTTTGAAAAGAAGCTACACTGGAACCTTAGCTAAAGATTATGTTCAACTGCAGCCAGAACCAAGAAAACAGAATCTAACTGTAAGTCAACATATTCACTAAAACATCACTGTCAGTCCAACTGGTTTTCAATAATTCAATACATTTATTTTCTTTTCGTTTATTTGGGAAGATTGGGTTTGCAATCACTGGCAATCACTTGCCATCAACTTCTGGCCCATATAGCAAGAAATTCAATTATTAATTCTTCATATGATCAATGCTGGGTTTAAAATATTACTCCAAACACTGGTCTTAACTGCACTCAGGACTCCGATAGGCAAATGTTCATTAGGCTCCAGCACTTTTGTTTTCAGAGAGTGTTAAAAGCCTTTTAGCTGGTTTATCAGGTGTTTACAATAAACAAATATAGTCAGTAATGTCACTGGATGACCCTCATCTCAGCTCAGTAAAAACTCAGTGTTTCTTGAGAATACAACCATATGCTTTTCTGTGGCTATGAAGACCTACTGACATGAAGAGTGGACGAAAAGTACATTTACATTATATAACGAGTTATTCTATCTTTCAAAGTTATAAACATACCATCATAAAACATTTCTGTGACTGTATTCACATGGATGGTGCTGTTAAAAGTCACATCTTACTGGATCAAATGGGCCCTTGTCCAAACCAGCAGCACTGCATATAGCTGTCAGAGATGAAGCATGTCTATACAAGTACATAAACTGTTATAACATTTTCTTATTACATGCATGCTTCATGTTAATTTTGGTTCACAATGAGGATAGATAAATAAAACAAAAATGTTATGACATATGTTTTTATTGTTGGGTTAAGCAAATTACTTGGTAATAAAGTAATAAAAACGCAAAAAGTAGTAACCTTTAGGTTTATACCAAAAGATTATTTTCACATAGGTTTCAACTAAAAGATCAACGCATAAAATGCAGCTCAACGTGACACTGTCAACTGTCTGCTGTCTAAAAATACTGCAGTTATAATCCTCAACACATGAAGACATCTGTGCTTCAGTCTGTAAGGAAATCTGTGGCTTTTCGTTAGAGCTGGCACAGAGCAAACAGTTCAGAGGCAGCAAGTGGAGCTATAGGCCCGTATGGGAAACTTTTCCTACTGTACTTTCAATACAGGCAAACACATCCCTGAGGCTACATGTGGGTGGATGTGGACTCTCGGTTGCTCTCCTGCACTCATCGTTCATTAGCCTGCATGATCAGCCCTCAGATTTCCATCATGGCAGGTATCAGTTACACCTCAGATAGCATCAGTGGAGGCGCCCAACCTGTGGACGTGTAGGCAACTTAGCCTACACCTGTGCAACCAAATAACATTTGCCAGGAAGTAGTGTGATGACCAGCAACGTCAGTCTCCTTACAGGCAAGAAACCAGACAAAAACTGGGATATGTCACTTAATTCTAGGATTAAAGTTCGTTTTAGGCCATTTAATGCATCGAGGAAAGGAGTCAGACAAATGAACCTGTTCCATAAAGAACAGAAATGAGACTGTAAGCAGAAGCCTTCAGTGACTTGAATTCCAACAGCCTTATCAACAGTGAACCTCCAGGAGGATTTAGGCCACGAATTTCACACCGTGCACGAACCAAAATAGTGCACCTCAGCTGAAATGATAGGGGCTACAAGTACGTGATATGGCATTTTAAGAAAGTCTTTATTTTTTCACATTTACAATGAAAATTATAAAAAATATATAATTAAAGCTTTGGCAACTATTTTACATTTACACAATTAATTTCTTTGTTCGCATCGCTGAGTCACCGAAGAATCGAGATTATTGCCACAAATGAACATAATAAAATATATGACGCATTACAGAAGAGCCCTTGGTTTTATAATAAAACATCAATGACAGACTGGACTGGCAAATAAAAAGAAGTATTTTAATCCTGCAGTCTTCAGAAGACAATATACAGCCTAGCAACATGAAGTGTTTCAGTGGAGAGAAAGAAAACCAATCAACCAATGAGGGGAGAAACCAAAACATCTATGCAAGCTTACATTCAAATGGCCATGAAGGCCGAAAAGGTTAGTCTGTACTCGTAATGATTGTGAACAGGCCTGTGTTTGGCTGTCAGCTACAAACACCCGGAGGATCAAGCCACTGGTGTTCAGACTTACTGTTGGAGCTGCTGAAACGTGTTCCCTTAAACGGGCCTGGTAATTAAGGTGGAATAAGTGCCGGTTATGATGATGAGGTAGGGAGACTGAGTCCATGCACACTGTTCAAGTCTTCGTGTTGCTGCTGCTTGCTCAGGGGACTGGGCGGCTTTCTGTCTCCTGCACAACACGAAAAAGACATAGATTGGATCTGTGCATGCGCAGCCTCATCAAATGGTTATTTACTCCTCACAGAAATCATCTAACGGGAATTGTTTCACCTACAAGTTGGAGCAGAGCCCAGCTGCATTAGAGGAGCACAACACACGTACATGTTTTAAATGAAGCTTATTTCTAAATGTCCTCAGACCACCTGGTAGTCCTGACGCTGCCAAGGCTGGAAGGTCAATATCTAATAACTGAGAGATAATTGGAGTTCATTTAGGGTTTGCTAAATGTTTACACTCGTTAGGGACATTGCTTATTGCAAAGTATGTGCTGGGGAGAGACGGGTGGTGTGCGAGTATAATTGTTTATTATCAATGAGAGTCTGCGGTACAAACGTAAATCCTAACATAAAGCTGCTGCGTCCCAGAGGAAGCAGGTTTTGGGATCAACAGACACCAGTTTTCACATTAAACTGTGGCACCGCTCCCCCTCCGGGCTCTGTACCTTCTCGGGCCTGCTGGTGTTTGAAGGCCATTGGCGAGTGGATCTCCCCCGCATGCATGCCCATCCCGCTGCCTGGGTGGGACAGGGCCGGGCTCTGAGCCTGCCAGTGATGGTGGCCCGGGGCCACGTAGCCGCCTGCTGACCCGCTGTACACACCGTACTGGTTGGTGGGAGAGTAGGCACACGCCGAGACATAACCTGACAATGTCGAGGAAGGCTGGAGACAAACAGGCAAGGAAACAATAAGCACAACACGTACATGTGGCCCACAGCTGTCATTCTCAGGCGGGGTTCCGAGTGCTTTAGGAAATGCAGGTAAACTGAGGAATACATGGCTTTATAACTGAATTTACCACAAGACCGAGTAGAATATGAATACACACTTTTCTCTGTCTTAAACTCAAAGCAAACATTTAGGATGGGACTCTCAGGCAGACGTCTGTGGCCCTGTGTGGCTCTGTCTGACAATCCCTGAGCTGGAAACATTTAATAACTCTTCCACATGCAGCTGTAGCTGGAGCAACAGTTTATTCAAGGTCTCTGCCCATTTTGGCACTAAACATTTGGACAGTTTCCTATAAAGAAGAGAAAGTGGCGCCGATATAACAAGACAGAGTGTGCACACCTGTGTTGTGCAGATGTTACAATACTACATAACAAGACATATATGTTTTTTTTTACCTGAGCGTATTTTATGTCGGCGTCAATGGCTGATTTGTCAATCCCGTTGACTGCGTGAGCCGCCGGAAAAGCTGCTCGGTTGACGCTACTCCACTCCTCCATTTTTGGTGGATATCCCTCCGTCCCAGCAATGGCTAATTTAGAAACAGTAACTTCGTGTCAAAGATGCATAAAAGGCAAACTTGCTGAAGTGTGAAGTACAATGCAGTGCCATTTAGCTTCATAATTAATTATAGCCACAATTAAAATGCTTCTAGCATTTTCCTGTCTGGGCTGTTAAAGACATTTCGTTTTCAGGCTGCAAATGTCACTATAATTGTTTCAAAATTAGCTTTACTCAAACAAATCTATTATTTTATATTAGAATTATTATTATCATTTAAGTGCGTAATTGTAACACACAGCTAGGCCTGAGTTTTAACTTCCCCTTAAGAAAACTTGAACGTTTTAAACAAAATAAATTAAAAAGAAATGACAGACATTTATTATAAATATTCCTTCTTATTAGTTTCTATAAACTATTGTTTGGGATTGTTATACTTAATAAAATTCTACTTTTTATTTTCACGTTTGCGTAAAAGAAGCTGTGGCTCAGGAGGTAGAGCGGCTCGTTTCCTAACTGGAGGATTAGCGGTTCGATTCCCGGCTTGTCCAGTCAACATGTCGAAGTGTCCTTGAGCAAGACACTGAACCCCCAGTTGCTCCCGGTGGTGTCACCGGTGTGTGAGTGTGAATGGCCGAATAACGTGAACGCGCTTTGAGTGCGCTGTAAAGCATAGAAAGGCGCTATATAAATATAAGACCATCTAATTCTCTATCAGCATGCTTATAGCGCCAAGGTGTTTCATTCAGAAGATTTTTAATTACATATAAATTTTTAATTGTACACACATTTTGTTAAAGGCTATGTTGGCCCCTGTGACATATCAATGCATCTACATCGGATGGAAACACTGGCTACAATAAGAGAAAGGCAAAGGGACAACATGCCTGTAGTGACTGCTTGAAGGATTAGGGGATATAGCAGGTGACCAAGGTGTTTGCATAATGCAACATCCCGTGAAAAGGCCCATTCAGCGTGCTGCTGCTGCATTCTGGCTCAATGTTTAAACGGAGGCCTGTACAACTTTAAATGGACAAACGGTCCTGTCTGTGGCCAGAACAGGTTTTGCGGAATGATCTGGCAATCCATCATGCGGAATAACACACTAATAACCAGCTGCACGCCTTTGTATAGAGCAGTGAGAGATAAAGGCTCAGCGTGTGGCCCAGGGATGCAGAGGCCTGAACAGAAAGTGGTTGTGTGTTCCTCACCTGTAGGATCCATGAAGGCTCGTATTCCCAGAATGTTGCTGACGGTGTGTGCAGAAGGCCAGGGCCTGGATAAGCTCACGTGTCCAGGCGTCACCGGTACTCCAGGAGGGCTACTCATTTTAGGTGACATGGTGTTGGGGTAGGAATACGGGTATATGTGGTTGTAGGGGAGCCCGGCCTGCGCGGAGGCTTGCTTGCTGCTCTCATACTGATTAGGCTGGGAGAGATTTCCAATCTTGTTTCGTAAAATCCTGCTGATCGAACTAACCGACGGGACATTGTACTTGTCACAAACTCCATCCGCCAAAAGCCTGTCCCGAATCTCCCAGGCAAAGATCCCCGGGTCGTTTTGTTTGTATTCCCTGATATTTTTCACAACGTTAGGCGTTGTGACCCGTGGTTTGCTTCCACCGATGGCACCGGGTAAGATGGAGCCCGTCTCGTTGTACCTCGCTAAAATCTTGCTCACGCAACCGTGGGAGACTCGGAGTTGCCGGCTTATATCGCAGGGTCTGATCCCGAGCTGAGCCAGCTCCACAATTCGCAACCGTATTGCGTTGGGCAGGGGTCGCCCATTCACGAACACGCCGCCCAGCTGGTTCACCTCTCCATAGGTTTGCTCTGCAGAAGAAAAGAAAAACACAAGTTACAATATGAGGTGAGTTCACAAATATCTGTAGCCTCCAATTGTTGGCACTGTAAGACACTCGTGGCCTGCCAAATATTTTCCCATAAATCAACAGAGAAAAGGCAACTTCAAAATCCCCAGCCTGCACCAGTTTGACACAGTTTGACACAGTTGGACCTGTAAATTTCACCAGAAACCGAGGTGATAAAGCTGTATTACGTGTCAGCCTCCACACACTGCTAACCGCTATTTGTGCAGCTTTGTAAAAGTGTGTAAACATTTTGGGTGGGTTTCCCCTCCACCATCCCCGGCTACACAAAACAAAACAACATTAAAATGGCGAGCTCGAGGAATAGACACTCTTCAAAGAATCGTTTCTTTTAGAAAAATTGATGGTGTGGTTCCATTTAAGATTTATAGCTTTAGACAACAGCGTCTACTGAATAGAGCCGGAAAAATTTCCCGTGAAATAAATTTGACAAGCCGTCTCCACTCTTGCCAAATACATTTCTACATTATCTCAAAGTGGAGAAAAAGCACAGAATGCTTATTTCTGACTTTACGCAGGCGTGTCGAGTGTGGCTACGCTTCCATAAGCCCAGTGCCACTGAAGCATGCAGATGTTAACGCAGGCTTACCCATTTGCCTATATGTTACGAGATGCTGGGAATTATAGTTGATCTTTCAAATGGCTGAATGTGTCCGAGCGAAGGCAGCGAAGGAAGGAGAGCGGGAGGAATGAGCCCCAGAAGAGGAAAAATAGACCTCCTAAAATCTCGCCCGATTGCACAACCCCGTTCTTTTTGAAAGCAAGTGACTGCAAGGTAGAATAGCACCAAAGTGAACTTCATCCGATAAATGCAATTTGGAGTTATCCCGGGGAGTCCGAGGTTTGCTGGAATTAATTTGACGCGTCCTCCACGTCAGTCTTCGCTGCGCCTCTGCTTCGGTCTCATTGGTCGCCCTGCTCTGGAAACGCTGTCAGCCAATGCGAACATCATCCGGTTGAAGCCCTGCAGCCTCCTTGAATATTTAGCATAAGGGAAGTGGCAGAAGGGGAAGCGTTTCATCCAACATGCTGCCTTCTGGTAAGGACTTATACATCATAGGAGATATACACAGGGATGACAGTGAGGGGTGGGGTAATTCTTCTTGAACTGGTCATTCTAAAATAAAGTTTAACCACTTTTTGCAACTGGCATAAAAACTGAAAACGTATTTCTAGTGAGCATCATAGTGAGTAGTATCAATTCCATATGAATTAAACGAGTTCGTGTAATGAAGTTTAAATTTACTCAGTCATTATATGAAATGTATTTAACTAATATTCATATTTGTAAGTGATGATTTTAATCACTTTTACTTCAGTGGATTCGCATGAAACATGGGAGAACGTGTGCTCTGTGATGTATTGTTCAGTTTAAAGCCATGCACGAGTGAATACATACTTTGAAAAGACAATTTATTGCATGAAAATAACACCAGTTCAGCAAAAACGATTCATCTGTGGAATCCAGCGCCTTGGTTATTTAGTTTACACACTAATCCTACAAAACACAACGTATATATTGTAATGGACGTCTGGCTGCTTGTTTAGGAACGGAGAGTATTACAACATTTTTCATTTTTGCCTGCGTAGTTATAATACTAGATTTTACGTATGAAATGTATTTTTTTATTATTTTTTTTTGTAAAGTGGTTCAGCACTGAAGTCGTGCCTCAGAATAAACTAATTTAACCACCAGAGCCAAAGGGAAACTTACACATCAGCAGCCCGAGTCTTTTTCTAAGCAGCTGAGCATCAGACTTGGGAAGGGGTCGTGTGATCGATACCTCTGTTGATCGCAGAGCTTTAGTTAGTCTGAATATCAAGAGAATAAATATCTGTTTATTCACAAAATGCCGCATGTGCATGCGTCTTGACGTACGGGACACACACAGGAGAAAGCCTCATCTGTTGCTGCTGAGCAGCCTATAAATTATTGTTTTAATAACTACTTTTATAATTCTCATTCAATCTCCGTCTGTCCGTCTCCCTGTGTCTCACTCATTCCCCATCTGTCTCCCAGTCTTTCCCGTGTTGCTCGGCTGTCAGGACTCCCCCAGCTGGACAACATAGGAACTGCACACGGTACGTCTGACTGGTGCACTGTTTTCGCCGGAGGTAAACCCGTTTCTGCATGTTTTAGTAGAAGATAAATGGCAAACTTTTAATGTGGATGTTAGAATGAAGAAGTTCATTTCATTTGTGTGAACCGCTTTCTTTAACGAATCCACACATATTATTTAAACACAACAAAACAAAAGGCAGCCTATTTATTCACAACTTATGTTATTCGTTGCGTTCTTCAGCAGCACAGTTCAGCAACGTTTGAACGTTTTCTCCAACATTGTTGTTGCCGTGTGAATGTATGAATAATATCATATCACTGTATTCAACGAATGATATATGTTTGAAGACCCGGTGTAGTCTTTGGAACAGTGGAATATGAAGATAGACCTACATTACATACAGAGGTGCATCTTTCCAGAGAAATTGCTTATGGATTACCAAGATGTTTAGTTTTAGTTTAAACTGGCCATTCACCTTTACACAGTTAATAAACTACTGTTAAAAAGACCACCGGCTAAGAACTGGCTAATCGTTGGCTTGTGTTGGAGAATATGGGGTTGTATTCCAGAGATGCTATTTTCTACAGTGTAAACACAGTGTACATTTTATTTAAAATTGAAAGAAATCTAAAATAATTCAGAATCTCTAATCCTGGATTCTGAGAAGACTACAGCCGTATGGCTTTGCAACCGCCTGTTCAAATGTGTCATGTGTAACAAAACAAAAACAATCTTGCACGACTTCCCACATTTTCCATGATGCAAAGTGTATTCATACAATATATGCCCTCATATATAATTGAGCATAAACAGAAAGATGGGCATGTCTTAATATACTGCTCAAAAAAATAAAGGGAACACAACACAAGACATCCTAGATGTGAATGAATGAAATATTCTTATTAAATACCTTGTTCATTACATAGTTGAATGTCTTATTTTCTCTTGTGTTCCCTTTATTTTTTTGAGCAGTGTATTTCATTCTAGGCTGCTGAACAGTACTGTACTGCAATTCACTTATAAACTAAAGGTTTTCTTTAATCTCATGATCCTTATGAAGTAAAATCATAGTACTAATCACAGAACAATGTGGAAGAATGGAAGGACACTCAGAAGCCCCCAGTTCAAATCATTTGCTGATAATAGTCCACAGTAGATTGATGTATGGTGTCTGCTTTGGCCTGGGATGGTCACTTTATCCCCATGTTTCAATTGAATGGCTGTTGCTATAGAACTAATTGGCAGTGAAAGGTTTCATTTCTGATTTGTTTACTACATCGATGACGTTTTCTCCATGTCAGTAATATTAACGTTTCCATGTCCAAACAAGATTAGGATCCGTTCATATGTTCATATACATGAACTCTATACTTTCTCTGAGCAGCCTTGAGGTTTGAGGGGTAAATCAAACTGTTTGCTTTTATGTAGGGTTAGATTATGGGCTAGGGTTAGATTGTATCATCCTAAATGTTCTTACATGTATTTTTCAGTACATTTCATTTAGGGCTATTTTTTATTCAGTTGCGAGTATAAAATAATTAATAGTCCACAAAAAAGAACTATAAAGTGTAAAATTTGTTCCCAAGTCCCTTTCAGATCAGACACAAGTTAACTCATCCGGGCGACACCTGACACCCGCAAGGTGCAACGACCCCCATCGGTAAATATTGATGCTGGTTTTAAGTGTCATCAAAGGATTCACTTCCTCAAGTGAGCTTTATCTTTGAGGCCTTAAGGCGAATTTGAAGTTCTAGTTTTAATTGTCTCCCAGGGGTCGATGGAGAGAGTGTGTGCATGTGGATGACTGTGCACTTAACACTGATGCTGCCTTATAAATAGGTTAAAAGAGCTGAAGTCAATAAAGTGCACGTGCGTGCATTCAAGTGTGTGTGTGTGCAGGAGCGTGCGTGACCGTGTGCAGACCTAATATAACAAAGGCCACACTGACGTTTTGGCATCAGAAACGTTTTGCAAAATATCTAGTAGCTGTGATGAATGGAGTTCCAGGTAGGAGAACTAGCGTGAAGCACTGTGGACATCAGCTTCTCCTCTCTCATCAGGTCTTCCCCATTTCAACAAAGACGGAATCTGTGTTTATTTACTGGCTTGGCTTCGATTTTCTCTCCACAAATGGATGAACCATAGTGTTTTAATGGAGAGCCTGTTTTTTGTGTGCGTCTCCGGTTTTGATTTAGTGTTTGTGAGTTTAGTGCTCTCGGTGCTCAGTATGGAAATTATTAGACAAAGTCCAGATTGCATGCATTTAGCACACCAGGACCAACGTGAGGCTATACTGTAGGCTTAAAGCAAAGTGTTTTCAGAGAAAACCTCCTGCTCTTATATTTCTATAAGGGCACAAACAAACATAAACTGTATGCATTTTCTACTGAGGTGGTTCTTGCTTGTTTGTTAGCTCTGCTGCAAATACATGGGATAAACTGAATATGTCTGCAGCTTTTCTGGCTCTCTCCTACAAATAAGTGAAATAAGGTTTCACATTCAGTGCAGAAGCTAAAAAGCCCTTGTAGTTCATTATTGAGAGAGAGGGGTGTGTTGTGAGCCAACCTATCCCAACCTGTTAGAAAATACTGTTCCCCAGTTAAGCAGTTCCTCACCTCTACAAAAAAGGTTTTTCTGCTCCTATGTGAACCAGAAGGACCATGATGTATAGTATTTTTGTGCTCCTGCTGGTAGAGGTTCTGCTAAAAGGAGGCTTGGAAGGCAGCAAGCTCAGTTCTTTTATAGCCACAAGACCCACTGTGAGCTGCAGAACACACCTAATGAGGGCATGCAGCGGTGCCATGTGAGATATGACCACGCTGGGTAATTGCCTTTGACCTTCACTAAGGATTATGCATGTGCTTTGACTGAGAAGCTGAGAAAAAGACAAATAATGAACCCCCTGGGGAGCTGGGCAGTATTTCTGTATTATGTAACTGTATGTAAAGGAAATTAGTTGTGTGTCTTTAGCTTGACCACTAGTTTACCTAAGATAATGTAAAGGCTAGCAGAATGTTTCAAGTAGTAATGCTTAATTAGACATTTTTCTGTCACATCTGACAAAAGTTACTCCATCTGCAATAGGTGGTTTCAGTTATTTTAATTTTATACCATAGGCTGGCCTTGGGATTCCATTATAACTTTGCAGGGACAGGCTTGGTTTTCATTTAAAGTGGAAACATATTAGGAAAATACAAAGGACTATTTTCTTTGTTGCTGTGATTCAAAAAAAAAAAAAACAGTTGACAAAATGTGAACAGGCTTGAGTGTTAGTGTTTATATACTGGTCTCTGATCTGAAATCATGTAGAAATATGGCATCTTCTGCATGTTTTGTTAATGTAGACGATCTGAGGTGTCTCTTGTTTGCTGCTTGTTAAAAACATCAGTAAACGCAGCACACATCAGTTAGTAGTGGCCCTCGCCTTAGCTTCCTTCACCAGCAAAATCACATCTTGAAAAAGATTTTTAGAAAACATACCTGGCTCGTCGTTATGCTAGAGGATAATTATTTGTAAAGCTAAAGTCATTGTGGTTGCTGTACTTGAGTATTTTCTGTTACATCATACTTTGATTTCACTACGTTTTATAGGCAAAATATTGTACTTTTTACTCCACTACATTTATTTGGTGACTTTAGTTACTAGTTACTTTTTAGAACCTAATTGATTCCTGGTGTGAAATTCACAAGCTACACGTCGGTACTTCAAATTAAAAGCAAATAGGGAAGCTAAAACATTAAATGTAAAGTA